ATACCTTGTTGCCGGATTAAACTATTAAGCATCCCTGTCAACATGGTTAGTAAGATTAGTGATTTTATACATTTTGAAACCTGAAGTAATTTATACCATTTCGCTTTGAAAATTCTATACGTATTTTGGCCTCTATGCTTTAAATTAACGTGAATACCAAGTAGGCCACACCAATATTCTGTATACGAGATGTGCCTCATCTCAGCTTTGCAGTAATTTCATTACTTGAATTGATTAATCAATCTTTGGAGTTCGGAAACGTCAGATACATACATGAAGTAACGAAACAATACCAATAGTCTAATTTAATAAAATTCTTGTAACTGAGATGCACGCGATACGCGAGCGTGACTTCGCAAGAGTTAACTACAAATTTGAACATTCAATTCTATTTATACTACCTAGCATTAATAAACAAATTTTGAATAAGAGATTACTAATATGTCAGAAGTTTAATGTCTGATATATTGAAAAACATATAACCCAATATTGACAAAATCATAAATATAAAGTGTTCAAAATATTAAATACAAAACGAACAATACAATAAAAACGACTTATATCACTGAAAATGAACTCACCAGCTGGACAGGTAAGATTTCGGGAGAACTTCCAGTGCATAACCGAATAGTATCTCGATAAGCTTTTCATTTTTCGTCATAAAAATGTCTTTTAAGGTTTTGACGATTTTACATAAATTACATTAATTCTCTGGTATATATCAACATAATTAAGTATTAAACATAATTAACAATTTTAGAGGTAGTTCCAGGAAGGGGAGTCTGAACAGTTATTTCAATTTTCGGATTTTGTAACTATTGAATAGCTAATCAGTGGAATTAAATAGAATGTAATAAATCTTTCGCATATCAGGATTTAATTCGGGGTAAAGGGTTAACTGACTCTCCTAATTGGAAAGTTTGTGTCGCTGGGCAAGAGGGAAGTGAATAGTACAAAGTGTCCGATAATTCATTTATCCATGTTTGAAGGGGTTCAATAGAAAGTTCAAAGAAAGGAAGAGGAATGAAAGATTGCGCTCGGTCCGTTGCCCGTTTGTTAAGCGAAGTGCTCCCGCATTCGCATGGTACTATTAGGAGAAACCACGGAATACTATCAATCAGAGCATCAACCGTTAAGATTATCATTTAGGCAGCGGCTTAATTCGATCCAGTTATACAAATTATTGTATTTCTGGTGAAAAAAAATTATTAATTAATTTTCCTTTTTCAGTCTTACCAGGCTACAATATTTTTATAACGATGAGTCTTGAATAACTAATGAAATTTGAATATTTTTTGTTTACACATAAATTAATATTAAACAGTTTGTGCAATTAAGAAAATGTCCCCTATAAAATGACCAAAGCGTTCGTGGCGCCCAACTCGCTGCTTCTCCTCTCTAGGAACTGCTTTCCTTATACTTACCTTCTACGAGTGCTTCACACCACCACAAGCGATCCTCCTCACACACGAACTCTCTGTTGCGGCTCGAAGCGGAGACCCAAGCTAGAACGGGCGCCCGCTCTTATCTGAAGCTAGCTGGGCAATCTTAATTGAAACATATTGGGAACGCAAATGCATTAAATGATAAAATAACATATAAATATTATCAAAACGTATAAGGTACGAAAGAAATACAAACCTTTCATTTTTGAAAATTTAGTGTTTTAATGGACATGCTGCTAGTGCCATAGAATCCACTATTATGATTAATCTTTATAAAAAGTAGGTCAGCTCTGAGGCCGGCAGACCAGCCTTGAGGAAGAACGCAATAAGATGGTTAAAACTTCGGCACCACAGCCTTCGACGTGGCGTCGAGTGCAATCGTAAGACTAGCCACCGAAGCTTATAAAATTTACTTTATACTTCACTTTATAAAAAAAAATGCACTTTATAAAAGTTTAGAGAACACATTTGGAATCCTATTTAAGAAAGTCTTTCGGTATTTTTGAAACATTGTCATGAATTGACTCAAAAGTACGTGAAACTAATACAGAAGACGAGAGGGGGGAGAGAAAAGACACCCGTGACGATCAGAGTATTTTCTGACGACAATCTAGTTCGTTGAGTAGGTTTGACGTATACCTATCTTACAACACGACAGATAAAATTATAAACTTTAAAAGTGGTGTAATTTTTTTTACAAAAAATGATTTTAATGATTAATTTTACTATTTTCCGAAACTAATTTCTTCTATTTGTTGTTATTCTTCTGAAAGTATAAACTTGGAAATTGTAAAAATGACACGTAATACCATTTTGAATCCTATTAATTGGCGATTAAGGAGATAGATAGTTAAAGATTAGATAGTCAAGAATGTAAAGAAGAAGCTATCAGAACTATGTGGAGCGTTACGGCCAAAATTATACTGGAAAATACTTCATTGAGTGCAAACGTAAGTTCAATCAATCGAAATTGACGAATCCCGCTGCTATTTCAGTTTCTACTAAGTCTTTCATCTTAAATAATTCAATGGAATCCCAAGATAGGGAAAATTCAATTTCTTACAACTTTAATAATTGTGTTTTTAATAAATTTTCTCGTAAGTAGTTTCGTCACAATTGTCTTATGAAAGTTTTGTTATCATAAAAAGAAAACATAGTCGAAATAATTTTCTGCATAAAACTGTTATTCCCATTTCCCTTGCATATACTGGTGTCCCACCATGGGTGGGACACATGTATAAACGGTTCATGTTTTCGAAATGCAGTTTTCGCTTGACAATGCGGAATCATGTGACAAGTAATATGCTGTACGGATATTGTTTGAAATATTTTTAGTTTTAGAGAAATTTAATAATCTCCGAATTTTTAAATGAAATTATATATTTTTCTGCCAGCAATAGATAGTAATATGATAAATAATATTTTGATAGTAATTTGAGTGTAAAATTACACTTTCTGTTACGTGATTTTACATTAAACGGACAATGTTTTGGAGCCCTTTGGGGATGGAGGCTGGAACGGCGCCGACTCTATTGTGCGGAAAGAGGAGGGGGCGGCCAAGGTCACCATCGCACAAAACCGTTAGCAGCAAGGCCTTCTATAACAAATATTGGGTGTTTAATTTAAAATCACATGTCAGCAAGTTTAATTTTATACAAAACATAAATATATATTACAGCACTCAAAAGATTCCAAAACATTAACATATATTCCAACAGTGCATTCCACTTTTTATGATCTATTGCAAGTGAAAAAAAATATACGGTTCGATTTAAAAAAATTAAATATGATTAAATTTCTCTAAAGCTGAAAATATTTCAAGCAATGTCTCTACCGCATTTTACTAGTGTTATGATTCTGCATTTTTGAGCGAAAACTGCATTTTGATATCGTGAATCATTTAGAAGTTATAGAGTGCTCAGGGTGGCTGGAACTTTCCTGTATGTTATCTCCGGACAGGCCGACAAGTCAAGACTCGGAGTTCCCGGGTCAGCAATTTTTGCGTACGCCATTTCTTGTTCGCAATGTCGTATTTTTTAAAAAAATTATGCCATTCGCTTAATATATTTAATGGTATTGCGTGAAATAGACCACACTATAATTATCACACTGTCTCGTAATATTACTCACTGATAAATCACAACAATCGTAACTTACATGATTAATGTGGGGTTTCAGAAACAAAGATGGAATATAGTGAATAAATGTAAACATTATCATGCATTTCATATTTAACTTTCAAGCCCGTAATTTCCTTCCCAGGTTTTCAATATCAAAATGAGATATTAATTATAGCAAACTCAAAGCAATATTGTTTAAAATATCAATATACCAATCGGTCACCTTGACAATTCTTCCTTGCATAGTGAAGGCAAGATGCAGGATTCACAGAATTGTTTATTACTGTGAGATTATCGTACCAGTTTGACTACATTAGATGACATTTTAACAAAAGATTGTGGTACAATAAATTGACTTACAATGTAACAAAATGTATTAAACAATAAAAGATTTTCATCACATATTGAAAAATATATTCCACATGCATAATATTTCAATTAGAAATGACAATTATTTAGCCAATTTCGATTAAATAAGCTCTTTTAACAATCTTCTTATGTAATCTACATTTGGCTTATACTAGACATTTAACATCAGAAACTCCAGCAAAATAAAAAAGTAGAACAGTTCCACATTTTGAAAAAAGTTTCAAAAGGCTTTCTATATTTTCTCAATCGTATAATCACTCAAATAATTATGGTTTAAATTAAACTTTAAATGAGAAAAACATAAGACAAAATTTACCAACCTCTTAATTGCAAGCACTAAATAATGAAAAGAAGGCAAAACTGTATTTAAAAAAAAATTCTAACCATTACACTCACTTATCCAATACACAAAAATTCTAACAAAGTTAAAACAATGCCACTAATTTTGAGAAAGTGATTTTTTGAAGGAAAATATTTTAATTTTTCAATAAAACATTGATAAAAATATATTTATAGTTTCAAAATATCTTCATGTGATATAAAGAACTGTATCATTCTTTAATTAAAAAATAATAAACCATCAAATACTGGGGTACAAAAACTCAGTATATAAGGATATAAAATCTTATATTGAATACTGCATGCAATGTATATATTGCAATGCAATGCATATGTATATATAATTATACATAACAAATACAACATCAGCACGTTAATATTACAAATTTCAAATCTTAGAAACATTTTAAAAATATTAAGGAAATGTAGTGTCTTACATACTGTTTTACAAAACAAAAATTTTCATAGTAAATGAATTAGATATTTATAACTGTTATTTCTCTCCTGAGCTACAGTTTCATGATCACATCTTATGATTGAATTACCACAAAATTTTATTAGTTTTCTTCGTAAATATTGTGAATTTTTAAAATTTGAAAATAACCTTCCTTTACAACCAAACTATATTTTTCTATGAACACGACCAAAACTAGGCAATAATGTTAATTATTGCGCAGTGAGAAAAGGGTGTTTCACACATACCATTCTCCCCCACCCGCCGTCTTCCCTACTCCAGACTCCACAACCTGCGCGTGACCTCGTCCAGCCCTGTGGGACGGGAGGGGGTCCGAGTGCGTGCCGTGGGCTGTGGCGCGGGCGAGGCGCGAGACGCTAGCTGCCGCTTGGCGCCCTGCACCGCGCGCTCCAAGGCGCGCTTGTCGGGCGAGAAGAGGTCCAGCGCCAGGTTCTGCCAGCGCTCGCGAGAGCTGCGGGCCAGCCGCCGCACGCGCAAGGTGGGCGTAAGGCCGGTGAAGAAGGAGAGCGGAGACCAAACAGGGTCGCCTGACCCTGCGACGCAGAGCAATAGCAATTTCATGGATTTGTGACTGCCAACGGTTTGGTCGCCAGGCTGAGACCTTCCTCAGGGTAAAACGAGCTTTACAGTACGACCAAAACTTGGCAACTATGCTTAAGAACCGGGGACAGACGCCGGCTGGGAAAGCGTACGTTTTCATTGTAGTTCCATAATTTTACGTAAAAACTAGCTCTAGGATAGTTATGTAATAACAAGCATTGTCTATTACATTTAAATGTATGCATATTGTATTATATCCACCAAACAAGGTTCATTCAAAGGTTCACCAAACAGGGGAATCTTTATAATTGCGTAATTAGAGCATATTGTTAGAGTGATACATATTTTTCGCAGGAAAATATCAAAATAATGTAATTATTACTTTATTGATGAAGTTACTAATTTTTACTAGTAATAACATTTATGTTATTACTACTAATAATAAATAATAAGTTAATAACAATAGTTACTTTTCATTAGGAACTGATTATAATATTTATAAGATATTGAAATTGCGGCGCGGATATTTTCCTAAGAATAAAAGCCTCTTCAAACAGACGGATCGGCAAGACCTTGATGGTCAGACATTGAAGAAACATTGTCACTGGAAGAAATAACAAACTTCAAACATGCGCCAATAACATCTGTGTTGGCGTGAACGTTGTTTTCTCAGTACAAACCAATTTTGAAAACCATCCGAGAATTGTTTCTGTTTTCAAACTTACAATGATGACTTATATACTATAAAGGAAAACAATTAAGTGACTTTCAGCAACAGTTCCAAACCATAATTCAGATGACTTTGTCATGATTTGCATTATTTTGGTAGATTATTTGTTACTTGATCTTCAGTGATAATTATAACGGATGAAAATAACAAATTATGAGAATTTCATAATCTTTACGAGGGTTTGTTTAGTAGATGCCTTTCGTAACACCATTTTCTGATAAGAAAAATCATACAATAAAAAGTACATTTTTTTAGAATAGGAATTTTCTTACGCCATTTTTCGCTGGTGATCATTCGCTTCGATTCTCCTTAATGAGCGGGGGTCTGTTAAAATCCTTACGCGACGTAGTGCATCGTAGTGCATCGTAGTGCATCGTAGTGCAAAATAACCGTTTCGAGAAGCATCAAAACGTTATGGTCTGTGACGATTCAAGAGTTGCGACTGACGTGAATTACGTGTCACGGTTAGTTGCAACAATAATACAATAATGAAAAACGAATTCCATTCAATTCTCTTACATTAAGGGCACTATTGCTAAATTTACTAATAATCTCGCATTGAATCGATTAATTTTCAGTAATCCACTCCTTGCAGCTATTCCCTGGAGTTGTAAACATGTGTACAATTGTACCCTTACCTTGAGGTGGGACGTTACTACTCGACAGACTTCCAGATCTCGCATCCTTGGTGCATGAGAACTCCGTCGGTGGCTGCGACGTTGCATGACTTGTCTGCTTAGCATGCGTTACACCTGTATCCTCGTAAGAAGATTCTTGATCCTGGAGCTTACTGAAGACGGAGAACACAAATGTATTTACCATTTACACTAATTGATTAAAACATTAAAATTAAGAGTTCGATCCTTACCCACTGCCTGTTGGTTGTTTTCTCTTTAACATGCTGTTCCTTGTATGTGAGGGAAATGATGAAAGTCTCTTCCTTTTTCTTTCTTGTGTGGTAGATGTCCCACGGTTACCCAAACTCCGATTAATTTTCTTTGATGCCTTAGGAATAGAACTTTGTGATGCATTTTCGTTGTTGTAGTCTTCACGCAGCGCAAATGATCGTAGCACATTCAGTTTTACATCTTCGTATCCATCGGTCATAGGAGTTGTCATATCGTTTTGCTTTCTCGTCGTCAATGCTTTCTTTGTCGGAAGCTCCGAGGTAAGTTTGCCTGCAGTGGAAGTTCCATTATTTATTTTACGCCGTTTTGCTTGCAATTTGGAGTCATTTATTAATCTAGTGAGGATATGTGAAGATGAAATATGTTTCCTAGACTTCATTTTAGCGGCCGAATAGGAGATACTATACATGTGTTTGAGGAATTTTATAGCATCTTGATCGCGATCGGTTTTGGAAGCTTTACATTCTACTGCTTCTCTTTTATGTACGTCAGTATTTTGAAACTTTTCTGAGTGTTTGACCTCGGTCACTTCCGGTTTCAAATAAAGCACTGGTATACCTGATTTACTTCCTTTATTGGTGGCGTTTCCTGGAAGTAAATTTGAGTCAGCAACATTTGTAATTGATGAAGTGCTCCTAGTATAACCACTATGCACACGTGGCCTCGACATTCCAGCCTTTTTTGATTTTCTTTTTATTTCAAACTCAAAACTCTTTTGTAAAGCTTCTGAAATCTTTCCAGATTTTTCGTGGTGCTTATTTATTAAAGCTTGTGCATTTGAATTAGCACTTGCCTTTACCATTAACTTCGACTCGGCCTTCTGAATATGTTTTAAGATTTTAAGATTCTTTACTTTGACTGAGGCTAATTGGGCTGAGTGTTGGTCCTGCTTCATCACCTCTTCTTGACACATCGGTTTAAAAGACTCCAACTTCGAGGTTTGACTGCAGGATAAAATGCGTGATACGTGACGACCTTCGTCAGCTGGCGAATGAAGCAGTTTTTGAGTTTTCTTTCCAGCATCGGATTTAGGAAATACATAATTACTTTTAGCTGAAGATAAAAGATGTTCACGGCTTTTGAAAGAAATTCTCTTATTTACTACCGGGCGAAATTCGGAGTTCGCAATTCCCCTCGGATTTTGATGTTCTTGTAGCGTCCGAAGCGCGTTTGATTTCTCGTTATTCGTGACCAATTTCCTTGCATTCACTCTATTTTTTATCTGACTGGTTAAATGTTTCGAACAGAGTTGTTTTTTGTTATTTTCTTCACATTTCTTTTCAATTATTGTAGGCTTAAATTTTTTCCTTCCAGTGACAGATACTGAATGAGATAAAATATTGTTGCTCAAAGCCCAACCCCTTTGCTTCTCTGATATTTTCTTTGATTTTGTTTTTTTCGTCTTCTTTAACAAAGGAAAACGAGATTCTCTAGACTTTTTTTCTGAACATAACCAAATAAAAGTGGATGAAGACATAATTCTGTTATTACTTTCGTCTAAACATTGCGGCAATGGGAAAAGTTTTCTTATCTCGTCATTTAACCAACAGCTTCCTTCAAAACTACTTTTATTTCTTCCTTGACTAAGAACAGATAAATGAGGGTTATTCTCTTCTAAACTATTAGACCCTGAAGATCCTTCTTCTGAATGCAAAGCTACATTCGCATACGCATTAGTGACAAGTCGTAAATTTGTATTCATACGTTTTTTCTTCTGCGCCTTGATAGACGATTTGCACGGAAAATTACGTTTGTCAGCAGTAAATTGTTGCAAGAATGGAGAACTCAAAAACTGAATGCTTTGTTCCTTCTTTTTTAAAAAAGTGCAATTCTGTGTTTGGCGCGGAAAGGTGGAAGATAATGGTATTTCCTCATGCTTGTTTTCGCCCCAATTAGGAGAATTTTTATATTTCTTCATAATCGATGTAATGCATTTGTTAACCTCAGATATTTCAATATTTTCTTCACAATTTTCTGAATATGAACAATAAATGTTGGTGTCTAGCGGTGTGTGCTTCTTTGTCGATGAGTCAATGTTCTCTTTCCTTTCGTGAGGTGAAGAATGGTCTTTTTCCGCTGCTTCCGAGTTTTGGTCCACTAAAATCGGAATTTGAGGAAGAAAGTTCTCAAATGTTGTCTCGTACTCGAACGAGGTTTCAAAAAGATTCTTGTCCAATGCAATCGCTTCTGAAGGTATCTGCTCTGGCTCTATTGCAATTTTTGGATGTGTGCTAATATCAGAATTTAGCTCATTTAGTTCGTTCTCTCTATTTTCTCTTTGTCCCGCCATAGCGAAAGAATGCGATTCGCGAAGTGTCTCCTCTCCTTTTGACTTCATGGTATCCACATTACAAGGAAGGTGGGACGAAAGAGTCTTATCCTCCATGCGCTCAGTCACAAATGTTGGATACTTCTCAACTTCTGAAAAATCGTGTGTTGAAGTCTTATGTTCTGGTGATTCTGGTAATATCTGACACTCCAAATCCGAATATACACTTGTAGTAGAGAGTTTACCTTCCTTTTCAAATTCTCTTTCATCCTCCTTGCTTATTGAAATGCATGAATCTGCTGCACTTGTTGGCACGGGTACCCCAGATGCAATCTGAATTCCAACATCATCTTGAATTTTCTCGGTAGAAGCACGCACTACTTTCTTTCGTTTGGAACTGATGTGAAATCTTTTTTTCGCACGCTGAAATGTTTTTCTTTCCAGCATACTTAAATGTGGTGAACGTGAAATCATAGCCAGAGTGGACAAAATAGTAGAAACCAAATGTCCTTGCTTTACACGACTAGTGGGTGATTTTCTTTTGTTGCCTGTGTGAGTTTTCCGTTTATTCTTTGTATTTGAGTTGTTGCAAGACTTCCTTCTTGCATTATTTCTGAGCTTGTAAGGTGATCGTTTCTTCCTATTATCATCTTCCAGTCCGTAACTATTGCTTCCTGATTTGATACAAGACTTCTTCACTGAGTGAGTTGTAACTTCTCTAACTGTTCTCATTTGTTTTGAATGATTGTGAAACGAAAGCTGACTTCTGATTTTCCTGTTTCGGAGTAAATACGGAGAACGAGCCATCCTTGTAATTTCAGCTAATAGAAAAGAAGGATGTGACAACTTTTGGAGCGAATTGTCCTGAACATACAATCCAGATTGTTTTGCTGCTGGTTTATTGTTGCATTGTCTCTTTTTCTTACTTTGCAAAGACAAATGATTTTCTTCGAGTTTCGCATTTCTTAACATGTAAGGAGAACGCGAACTTTTTACAACAACTTTTTTGTTTCTAACAGCCTTTGCACTTGTCCTTAATTCCTTCTGTATATACGTATTGTCTCTATCACATTTGCACGAAGTAAGTTTTCCGACCTGACGTACCTCTATGGGAGACTCGAATTTCCCTTTTGATGGAATTATTCTATCATATTCAGTGCCCTTCATTTTAACACAAGATGCGGAACGATCTGGTTCTGCGCTTTTTTTATCATGTATAAAAAACAAATCGTGTTGATGGTCAATGTTTTCTGTTTCTTCATTTACTTTAGAAGTTCCGCTACATGCTTTCTCACTGTTTTGATTTTCCATAAGCTTTTCTTTATTTTCTCTATTTGAAACATTACATTTGAAAGGTGACGTCAACGGTACCATAGCCATTTTTTCTTTCCCTGAAGAATCTGAAGCATTTTCTTGCAAATCCTGTCCATTATCTTTTTTCGTGTGTTTTTTATTTTCCGGAGAAACACATGTAATAACATAAATCTTATCTCCATTTTTTGTTAAGATGTGAATGAAAGAATCAAGAACGCCTTCTTTGTGTTGTTCACCGACTGGAATTCGTAAGTCTTCGTATCCATCGTCCTGTGGAGTAACCATGTCTGAACTGGACGTCAAAGTTATTTTGTTGTCGCAAGTTGCGACACCAGGTGAATTTTGTTGAAAAAACAGGCTTCTCTTTACTTTTAATTCATGTTTCCAATTTTCAAGAAGTTCTGATGATACAGAGATCATTTCTGAATGATATTTATTTTTCTTGTAAGAATCAAGGGAATTGCCTAATGCGTTGTGAATCTTCTCCCTCGTTAAACATTCTAACTTAGATTTATTGTGAGTAGACATGCTTATGGGATCACTTACGATCAGAGATGATTCATGTTTTGTGTTAGCTATGTCTTTCGTAGAATCAGGAAGTGAAGTGTGAGTAACGTTTTCTGTACCCTCCGGCCTATAAAGGCAACTCTCCATTGGCAACTCTCCATTGTTTCTCGAGTCTGAGACACGGTTCAGGATTCCTCCAGCTTCACTAGCATTGCTTCGTAAACTATGAGCAGGGTCCCTGTTATTAATTTGCTCCTCACATTTATTTGTTGATTCAGTAGGCAAACGTGAAACCGTTCGACTTGCCATTAATAGTGAGTTTTTAAATTTTTCGTTTTCTTCGGAGTCGTGTTCCGTATCAGGAATCAACAAATTTTCATCGTTAGAACCCGTCAACGAATTATGGACCAAATCTGTATGTGATTCATTAATTTCCTGAACGTTCTTTATTGTGATCGAACCGGGGTACACTGGTAGTTTGTCAAGACACATTATCGGTTCTGAACCATCAGTGTTTGTAGCGAAACCTATGGCATTTAAATCAAGCAGTTCTCTGTTTTCGCCTGGATCGTTCAAAAATTCACAATCACTCTTTGAATTTAAAGCGGTCTGGGGCATGTTAATTTCACCAGCAATTTTAAAATTAGTATTTTGTATTAGACTAAGCTGCTTTGCCATGAGAGTCTTGTTCCTGAGCGTACGAAGAGGAAAAACAGGTACACAGTGACTGTGCGTAATCATACCCATATCAAAACTACATGGGCCCGCTTTTTGTGAACCATCATGTTTTTCGTGCCAGTTTTCCTTCAAAAGAGAGCTTCGAGCATCTTTTACGACCATATTAGTTTGCGTCTTCAATAGCTTTTCTTTATTTATATAATTATTTGAATTTTTGCGAACGCGATTCACCGTGTCTGAAGACACGCCTTCAGTATCTTTAATATTTTCCTGCAGGGTATTTTGTACCTCTGAATTAAGTTCAACTCCAGAAAATTGTATTAAACGATCATGAGAATTTTTAAAATGTTCAGGGTTGTCAGAGGTCGAACCATTTATTGCATTTACTATTGAAGAATCCAAATGAGAATTCTTTTTTATTCTTTTTGGCCTTACTGAGATAGAACGCAATAAATGAGGAGAAGTGTCGCCTGGGCTTGCAATGGTAGTGGGAGTTATTTGTTCAATATTTGGCTCACCATGCGAATTTAAAACTTCTTTTTCGTTTCCCTTTTGAATGCCAAATAACAAACTGGTGGTTTCGTCTGAATAACTAGTTTGGTTATCATCCTCTCTTATAGCTGATATTTTATGAGTTTCTTTTAAAATCTCTTTTTCTTTTGAAAGACATACTTCAACTGTTTCATTCTCACTGTAAATACGAGGAGAGATAGAACTATTTCTCCCATCCAAATATTGTCGAAGAGATAAAGAATTTTCCTGAGCGCAGTCTTTCGCATTCGTGATATGTTGATTTATATGAAGTTTTTGGATTTTAGTAGATGTTTCAGTAGGTGACGCTTCTTCTGAAGCAACACATCTGATTTTGTTTGCATCTTGTTTCTGCAGAAGTAGTGTTATTTTATCTCTAATATTTTGTGAATGGGTGTAGTCACCTATTTCTTTATGTGACCAGTTCGATTCATGCTGCAAATTACACTTCTTGTCGACATTTCCTTCTTTTTCAGAATCAACATCCTGCAAAGTGCCAAAATTGTTTGTCGCATTTTGAAAGTAATTATTTACGTGGGATCTGCAAGTGCCTTCATGAGAAAGCGACGAACATGATGTTTTGTTTATTTCTTGTTCTTCAATATCTTCAAAAGATGGTGATTGAAACCATAATTTCCTTTTTCTTATGTTTTTCTTTTTTGATTTCTCCTCGAGATTCATTGAAATAACTGTGTTTTTACATTCTTTCTGCTGCGCTGAATCGTTGGGTAGAAATGAATTTTGGGTGAACTTCTTAGTCGAAAAATTACTTTTTGGAGTTTCAGAACCAAACACTTCTTGTTTTTCATTTTGATTCTCAATGCGACGCGAAGAAAGGTCATCTTTCATTTCGTGAACTTGAGATGCATGAGCATTAACACCGGTTTTAGAGTTTGTTGCCTTCGAGGTAACTAATGTTTCTGATTTCGTATTCGTAGGTCTTTTCTTTCTAAGAAAATATCGGCAAGACCTTTCATTTTTATACGAACATGGTTCCTTACGTTTATCTTCAGAGCATTCCGTGGCACTTGATTTAGTACGAGTTACATTATATATCTCTTCACATGCCAAATTCTCTTCAGTTTTTCTAATTATCCCAGAAGAGGAATCTGCACTTTTATCACAATTCGCATTGCAATCATCTGATGGTTTCTTGTGGGCTTTTCTCTCTCGAAGAGATTGTCTCTGATTGGGTTTTGCTTTTTTTAAATAAGGTGAGTTTTGGCTTATTTTCGAGGATGTTTTACAAGTAGAGCGACGGGATGCAGGCGATACTTCCGACACACTAGGTAATGCGGAATTGGATGGTTTTACTAGCTCACTTGGAATTTCGCCACACTTACTTGTTTTTACTCTCTCCGCCTTAGAACAAGGCCGCAGTATATTTACATCTTCAACGAAAGTATTAACGTCTTCAATCACTTCTTGAAGATTGCTTTCCGGATATTGCTTCTGTTGAACTTCTCGTAACTTTTCTGTCTTGGTATTCGCTTCTACTAACAAACCATTTGAAGGGTTCTCATTTAGTTCTTGCGCAATTATAGTAGCAACAGGATCCAATTCAGTTTCACATTTAGTCTTTATTTTCTGTGTAGAAGAAGGAGATGCGTCACAACGCCTTTTCAAACATTCCTCTTTTTCAACATTTGGAAACAGTTCTTTTCCAGCCGAGAAAGTTGAATGTGAAAGGGATTTTTGACTAAACCTAGCGCTCCTTTTCATTAGGAAAAGCTTCGACTGGCGAAGCAATTTCTGACTGTGAGAAAATTTAGACCTTTCACCACCTGGTGATACTCTACTTTTGTCAACAGAGAAGGTTAGTATGGCATTGGAATCATTTGTCTTGACATTTTTCGGAGTTTCTAGACTGACATCAGTTGGCAACGATTTCACAGGCAATTTACTCTTCATGTTTCCAAAAGCATACTTTATTTCCTGGTCACTTTTGGAGAAACTCTGGTTTGCATCTCCGGAATGACCTTTCGTATCACTGGCTTCTGTTAAAAATGAATATGCTAAGCCCGAGTTTACATGATTCTTTTCTTTACACTTGTCTAGAGATTCGGTATCTCCTCTTGTGCGTTGTGATTGGTTCAGCTTCATATCACTATCGTTACATAAATTTCCTGACATTTCTTCGTTTCTGGAGAATTCCTCGATTTCACTTCCATCCTCCTTTATTTTGGAATTTGACCATGAATCCCTGATCTTCACTGTTTTTTCTAAATGTACTGGCACATGAGCATTATTAGTTCGAATACTCTGTTTATGTTTAAAAAATCTTAATGAACGAGTTTTTTCAGTTGTTCTTCTCAGTCTTTTTAAAGCAATCTTGATTTTCTTAGTCACTAATATGCTAGCCCTGTTTTTCTGCCTTCCTTGCATTATTGAAATGGTTTTGGGAGTTGCTTTTCTTGGTCGAATTGAGGTAAGAACAAGAGCTGATTTGTTGGAAGGAAGCGCGGAACTGCGTGCACACGGAATTGAATCTTTGAATCGAATTAAACTATCATTGCCTTTGCCGAATTTTTCAATATTTTCGTGATCCAGCGCAGCGAATGAACGCAAAATGTCTTCCCCCCACTCTCTTCCCAAATTTTTCTCACTAGTAGAATCATCTAAATGTGGCATATTATTTTCATTCTTTGTAAGAAACAATGAATTGTCCTCTGCGGAGCGGAAACTCAGATCTTCATTTACGATTATATCCATTTCTTTACACCTCTCCTCTGTCATTCTTCCTAAACGAGAAGTGAAATTTTGGACATCGCATTTACTCTCCGGTGAAGCACTAGAAACTGATCAATTGAATTTTTAATGCATTTTTACGAGAAGAAAGAGGCGGCTTTCTTCACTTTATTCTCAAAATTCTGATATTGAGCTGCAAGCTGTCAAGAGTTCTTCGGAAATTCACCCCTTGGAAAAAGTGAATCTCAACTGATTGTTCTGGGTAGGGCTGGCGAGCAAACTTAAAATGGCGAATGACCAAATCCACCCACAGCTGCGAAAGAGAAAGAAAAAATAGATCGTAAATAACACAAAAGCCGGTTTTGGAATATAGACTTTGGGTGATGCAAAGTAGTGTTGGGGTTGTGGGGAAAATTAAGAACCAAGACCAAGTGCACGACTGACACTACAGGTACTAACCTTAGTCTAGCAGAAAATTAATGGGTTATAGAATCCAATGATACAATTTAACTAGTTTAAACATAATGACATAATAAACAAACGGTTTATAATTACTGGTCAATTTGATTGTGAACACTTATAAATAGGGAGAAGAGTTTGATGACCTCTGATAAAGGTCAAAATTGATCAATAAAGTGCTCTTAAAATGTTTTTAAAATGCCCTAAAAGCAAAGAAAAATGGCATGATTTTTTTTATCTCAACCAGTTCAGTTAAACAACTCAATCTGTTGGATACGCTACTGAAGTAATTGAGCTTCTTCCTTTCAAGTGAACACAGCTCGCAAACTTTTGGTTTGGACTGTTCTTTACCAGAATATTCCAGTCTTTATACATCTCGAAACCGTCCAAACTGACAATGGCGCTGATAAGCGTCAAAGGAACCTTAGATTACTTACAACGGCTGACATTACAATTTCTGAGCGAAGAAATCGAATAGACTTCTCTGGAACATTTGTTGCATCTCTTAAATATTATTGGAAGCAAGTACCATTAAAATGATATTTACATTAATGATATCGGCGAAAAATGTTCAAACACTGACGGTGAAAAGTAAAAAATGAATTACTAGTCGAAATCGACAAAAAATGCACAAAAAAGGCTCATACAAGTGAGTAATTTATTTTGGTCGCAATATAAAATGAATGCCTATCCTACAATGCATTATTCTAAAGTGAAAAGAAAAAAGGCATTTCATTAAAATCCGCCCCCGATCATAATCATAAAAAACACTTGTATGTTGTAAGATAGATGTCCCTACAATGTCACGAAAAAATTAGATAGCACTTGGTAATACTTTTAGAATGTTAATGCCTTTCAGGAGACAAAAAAACACTTGTGAATCTGTGGAACACTTACACCAGCAATCGAACACATACTTACACTGTGTGTATAATTATAGAATATCTGTAAATACAGAGATGAGTAAACAAGTAAAGTGCCTTCAATGATTGTTGCCTTTTTCGGGTTGCAGCCAAATATTCGTTGCATACAGAGCCGCGGAAGAACATGGAGAAACACATTAATGGACACTAACCTTTGGTCTTGAATAATCTGAAATGTGCCAACTTTTTAACCCAGATACGCTTACCAGAGCGAGAAGATATCAGATACTTACGAGTATGAAGACCGATACAAGTATAATAATAGCGAGCAATGACTAGTTGCTGTATTATGTTCCTTAGTCGCTATATTGAATTGACGAATATTATAAATAACTTTAATGACGCAGTTGACAAAACGGGTGCAATATTGAACGTGCATTCACAAACGAGGCATTAAATAGAACGAAGCAAATTGAATTTGTTAATTGTAAGTAACATACCGTTAGTCCTGGATTCAAAGTCAAAATTTTCTTCTGAGAGATTCAGTACCCTAAAATGAGAACTTCCTTCATTTGAATGTGTAGTCATACATTTTTATTAGACGATATGAGATGAAGAGTGTTTATAACAACAATTAAGAATCAATATTTTATTAATTAATATATTGCGAAATAATTTGCAGGTAAATCGGAGTACTATTGTACTTAGAAATAACATGATAACTATGAGGGGGAAGAATTCAGTTGAAGCGCGGCGGTGGTAGGTCCCAAGTCTGTTTCTTCTAAGCGCACCGCTAAAGTGGGACGACCATTTAGACGATTGTGGCTACCTCTTTAATAATTAAATCAAAAAAGAAACCTCGCGGAAAAAGTCCGATCTGTAAAAAGCATTACCTAAAAAGGTCATAGAGCAGCGGTTTCCGGAATAGAGATTTTGGTTGCAGAGATTTTCAATATTCATGACATCTACAATTTTACTCTGAAATGATCAAACAAATGAAATCTAGTGGATTCGAGTGCTTTCTTCAGACGATTAACTTTATTTTTTCCCCTTCAAATAGTTACTAATCAGTAGACATCGGATGTTAAGGCACTGAACACTTACGTTTTAGGCGCTTAAAAAGGCATTAAAATGTTTTTAAATAGGCACCGAAAAAGGCAATAAAAACCTAACATGGGAGGGGGAAAGCGCTAATATATTTCACTGTACCTACAGCCAAAATTAGCCAATATCAGAAAACAATACAACATGAGAGTATATTATTGAGTCATTAGTGAGTGAGTGACTTTGGCATCTTCACACCATTGAGCTGTTACTTTACACAGAGGCACTAGTGAGGTATTTCGCGAGGTGCATAACTCAGACGACTGCGGGCAGGATGAAAACGCACCTCACTCGACAAAGGCCCTAGTAATGGGCCTACATCGCGCACTTCTCAGAAGAACATCTGGCACGGAAAAATACGAATGTCGGAAGTCGGGATTATCGCCTTGTCCTCTGAGACAAGTGCCTTGATTACAATATGTATTCAAAATTTTTCTAAGCGCCTATCGCTCAACCATATGCCCACCGCTTGCTTTTTTAAATTTATTTGTGCAAAGACAAGCAATTTGAAGCCTCAATGCAAGCTCTTTGACATCAAAAATTGAGTGTGATATGTTAACCCAAATGAAAACTTCAGTCTAGACAAGAAATGGAGATTCCACTATACCATTAATAAGACAAGAAATGGATTACCAATATACAATTAATTTGGATAGTAGAACTGAAAATTATTCAAACCTGTATTTGAAACTAAGACTGTACATAAATGTACATAAATGTACATAAATTTAAAGTAAAAATCATTTAAAAAGAAAAATATGTCTAAAAAGGCATTTACGTCATAAAATATCAAAAAAGGCAAAATAAAAATTCGTCAGAATGTTTAATTTTCTATAATTCATAAACATATACATTAATTATCTTTAAATATTTTAATAAGAATAAAATAAGCATTTTCCTAGACATCCGACGTCTACTAAACAGTATTAGAAGGAATAAAACTTTTGCAAAGTTTAGAGAATCGTCCTTTCTGAACGTCATGACTACACAGCATCAAACCTGCCTACCAAGCCCTTTAAAGAAGTGTGAAATGAACGCTTCAAGTTGATTCCGAAAGTCATCCTGACGCACAATAAATCCAGAAATGTTATAAATATTTTGAACCGCTTTCAGGAATTGACCTTTATCCCAGTTTACCTCCAATGCATCATTTAAGGACTAAATTCAGGTTATGTATAAAACAATGAACAAAATAAGTTTGGGACGCGATTTATTGTAAAACCCAAACAATGCAAGTTGGTATTCGTTTTATACTGTTGCTAATTTACAACGTATAGTTTAACACCTCTTAGTTTATGAACAAACATTTTAAAAATGCATTTCCACAGGTTTTTTCCGGTCACACGGTAGGACGTCGTACAACCCGCTCCGGCTTCTGTATGCATACGCACACGGAATAAATTTAAAAAAGTAAATAAAAAAAGTATGCATACGCATACAAGAAGTCGCGGCAAACGAAGTGTCAGTCGTATTCCCTGAACAAATGTCTCTCCAGGATATTGTTAATTCTAATAGTTTTTTGAAACAATTTTCACATGCAATTGAAGAAATAATAAGGTATAACCGACACTAAAAGGTTGACGGGTAATTTATTAGGGACTTCATTTTCTCATGGATGTCTTCAAAATACGTTCTGAATAGGAATCTCGCATATACTGGGATCGGTGCGAGAGTTCTGTTGCGGTCCCTACACCGCTGGTGCGCCGGTTACAGAGCGCGCGTGGGAATATCTTTCGTAAAATCGACAAATCGTTGCGCCTGCGAGTGGCCAAGAGACTGTATTTACTTATTTATTTATTTTACGTAAAAAAAGAGTTCAAAAATGTGTGTGACGTGCTACAGAAAGAAGTGTATTCTGTGCACGTTTTCGTATTTCTGGGATCCCTGCCCTAAACCACATACAACTTAAATTCTGAATACGGAAAGAAATGAGCGTTTTGGGCAGAGAATTGTTAACAAAATATTCGCTCCGATGTAATAAAATATACTTACAAAGGCAAATCAGAAATAGATGTGGATTCTTACCCTTCATTATGTCCTTCGTGTCAATATATTCTTCTGACACGACATGGAGAACGATAATTTGAATAACTATATTTCCCGCTGAACTCCAGAAGATGTGAACAGATAATGAAGTTACATTTACGTCCGGAAGCGAAACAAGGAGCCGTCTGAGCATTTGCTCAAGGGATCAGAGAAACTGGACAAAACTAGTGGTGCTGTCAAAGCACAAAGTTTCTCGCAATGTATCTAATCGCGCAACAATATTATATTCATTTGCACATTGTATTGAACCATGATTTGATGTGACATACGATTTAAAAATAGAACAGGGGAGTTATACACTTGTTTAAAATTTCAGAAACGCTCTTGTTTTCTCAAAAACGGCTCCAAATTTTTTTCTTCAAACACTTTGAACGGATAGTGCTAATTACACACTTTCATATGACGTAAAGCTCATTTTGGGGTATTTTTTGTTTTTTAAAAAAATAAACAAATATAATTCCTTTGAAAGATATCTCACGCCATTAATAGGCGCATTTCCAGCAATGTTTAAGCATTATTGTATTTGTGAGTTTAAGCACTTCAAATGATTGTTAATGAAGTTTTTCGAAAACTCAA